AGAATAAATACGAAGTTTCTTCCGAGAAGTCGTTTCACCGAACGCGATTTTTATGTCAATTTGTAAACTTTAATTGAAGTCTGCGTTGGAATATAATCGCGAAAATCTGCTATAAGAAAATCCACGATTCACGTATAATAAAAATGTATGATAACGATAAAGATAATTCGTGGTTGCAAAATATAAGCTTTAATAGATACATTGTAATGAATCTCTTTGTATGTGTCAATTCTCGCAAAATATATGAAAATAGTGCTACCTATAATTATTTTATTTTTATAAGATTCGTATGCTCCGAAATAATTTATGATAAAATTATAATTTCAAGATTTTGCGGAAGGATTTTAACAAAAAAGAAGTTCCGCTCGTGTGTTCAATTCAAGACGCAAAAGCACACATTCTTGCACAATATTACATCTCCGCGCTATATACGTTCAGTCGAGGCAACAACACTGGATCCGGCCAGGAAGTTAATTACCCGCGGTTGCTATTGTCGAGAGTCTAATGACCATTCTTTTGAAACCCGCGTCGATTCTTCGAAACGCACATAGGCGCGAAACTGAGCACGTGAGGTAGAAGAAAGTTAGACACGAGAGAAGAGCGCAACGTGTAATTGTTGATAATTAATAAGAAAAGAGAAGTTAATCTTGTGCGAATTATTTAATCAAGTAATTCGAGTCAACCTACGAATATAAAAATGACGTGAAAATTCAAGACGATTCGCACACATAATTGTCGCGTTCCGACATAGAAAATGAAGAAGAAGAGAGACCGATCGAAAACGGTATATTAATTACGAAATGTATCGCCTCTCTCTCTTCTTCCTCCTACACGGTTGCGTCTTTCACGCTGTAAGAGCCCGTGTGTACACAATCGTCGTCCCATCACCGGAGGACCTCGGGCATGTCTGTCACGCATGCGGTTCCTCGTGCATGCTCGCGTAATTTCAGGCCACGTTCGTTCCCCGGCAAGAAGTATAGCACCGCCGGGAAACGCCGATAGAAAATTCTCGACGTGTGCTCTCCGAGGAACGCTCGTATCTTCGAGATAGAACGAGAGAGAAGAACGTTACGACGTTATAGATTCGCGGGATGACTTGAATTTTTCAATTCGATATATTTATAGTTCCACCTTAATTTAAAAATTAAGAAAAATTGCGCATAATGAAAGTCTCCCTAAATAAAAATGATGTCAAAAATATTTAAAGAATTATTAATTGTATTATTCCGCAATTATAAAGTTATGCTGCAGTCATAAATTTTGTGGAAAAAAAAAAAATCCAAATGTGATCTTCGAAAGGCGATTTGAGAATGTCAAATTTCGATTACGTGAATTTTTACGAATATATTATATACGCGACATTTTGAAATAACGCATAATGTATATTTATGGTGTATTAATATTCAGATCTCCGCTTGGACTAAAATTCATGTCTCACAGCGAGCATAAAGGACGATTAACATAAACGAATAATCACGACGTCTCTATGCGTATCTGTAGATTGAAAGTTTCCGTATCTCGTAGAGCTTGTAACAGAGCTTTTATTACGATTACAAATTGCATCGGAAATCATTCCCGGTTCGCGAGAATACTTAATTGAATTTCCTCGTATGTCAATCATATTTGCGTGCAAAAATATAACAGATTCTCGCAACGTACTCCGCCTTGCACGATAAATAATGCGATGATTTTAATGACTACCGCATTTTTTCATCCTCGCGTCCGTCTTCTTTATATATGCAAGTCTTTATGAAGAAAAAAAAATTAACAAACGATACATTTTTTTTTCTAACGCGACGTAAGGCTCTCCGGTTCAGAACCGGACGCGGATCGCGAATTACGCAACTATCTGCGGCGGCAGGAATTTGCGTTGCACCTGCGAAACGCGAATGTGTAATCAGCGAAATTCTTTCGACCGAATGCGCGAGTGTGCATCCGCGAGAGGAGGATTCGTGTGCGTTCGTGTATGATAATTTTAACATTTCATTTTTAACACTTGACACCGACGTGCCGTTTTTACCACTCGGCCGTAATATAACACACGTCTGTCGATTAGTCGAGAAATCACACGCGCGAGAGATCGCAATAGAATGCAATTAATATGTGATAACAGGACTAATTCGTTGAAATATAAATCACGAATTATGCGACAAAAGTTTACGGTGTAACAAATTCAATGAATAAATGAATAGAATTTTTTTCCTTTCGTTGCAGCATATGGAGAGAAATATTTTTGCAAGTATAAAAAAACAATAGATTTTCACGACTTTGAATTTTTCCGACACGTCCCGTCAATCTTATTATTACATATGACACGTAGAGACGAAATAATATATAGAGTTATGGCATTATATAGAGAGATGCGTATGGCATTTCTATTTATAGAAACTATATGTGACAAATAGGACTGACGTGAAGCGGGTGCGTATTATTCAATGTCGGGTGAAAAAAAAACGCGACACAGGAAAGAGGCGATTCGCAGACCGTGAAAAAAAAGCCGAGGAGCGTAACTGGGGACGACATTGTCAAAAAGCGCCGAGAACGTCTGGCGGAGGGTGATTCTACGGGCGCGTTTTCTAGGTTGGATCAATATATATGGTAATGTATAGTCGGTTATACAGGTAGCGAGGCGACTTAACGTGCAACGTGCTCGTAACTGTATTATGTATGCGCGCGATACGTGACTTCTCTCTCCCACTCTCTCTCTCTCTCTCTCTTTCTCCCTCTATCTTGCACATATAATAAACATGTTACGCGTCGTGGCCTATGGAATATTTATACACGCGTATCGTAGACACGTGCACGTGTATTTATCTATGTAACATTGCCGAGAGAAATTAAGATAAGAATATGTACATATAGTTATGACAGTCCAGCAGGTCTTGTTCGCGAGACGTAGCACTATGTGATAAAGAAAGTTTATTGATATTCTGACGGCCCCCTTTCTTCGAACAATTTTAGACTGCGTACGTTTCCAAAGAAGATGATTAATTATCGCATTCACTGTATGTATGATTCAACGACGCGACAATGAAATATTTATATCCCCATTCTCTGCGTTAGTATACAATCGATACGAAATATAATCAAACTCTCATTCAGCGATTCAGCTCATGTCAGCTAAAATCATGTATACGCAGTAAGCACATTATACGCAGCACGTAATGTGTGTGTGTGTGTGTGTGTGTGTGTGTGTGTGTGTGCAAATGCGGGTTTATCGACTCGTTTCGATTCCCAAAGTTCATCGGAAAGTTAATTAACCCATCGAATTCGTGTCTGATCTCGAGTGAAAAAAAAACAGCTCTGATCGAAATACTGAATGCGGTTTTTTTTTTCTTTTTTCGTTCGTTTAAGTCAACGTATAATGACGACACGATTGCTTAATTCGATTAATTTTGACCCCAAAAGGCGAAATTTCCGGGATATGTGTTAACGCGCGTCGATGCACCCGTAATGAGCTATAAAAAGACACAAATGTCTTTGTGATATATATTAAATAAATTTTAATGGTTTATAATAAAATATCAACAAATATTCACGTATATAAAGTTTTCTAAACAAAATTATATGCACTAATAATATATTACAATAATAAACATTTTTTTTCCAAATGTATATAAATAATTTGATAGGTATATGTATATGTATGTATAATTAAAATATCTTCAAATATCTTTTTCGAATTTCTTTACAAACTTTTACGATTACCAATATAAAAAAATTGAAAAAAATGTTACCTCGAAAACTCCCGCGTGCATTTGCTATTTTTGGCTTTTTAATATCTCGAAACTGATATCGCCAAACTTTTTAAGAGGCCACGAAGACATAAAAAGTTCCTGACTGAGTCGGTCAATAAAAAGAAATAAGTGTCGCCTACGATACGCGATCGCACGTATATGCCGCAACGTTTTATACACGGATCTCTCTACAGGAACGACATTCCCCTGGACTGGAAAATGAAATTCGAAACGCGTGTCTCCGACTCGTCCATAAGTACGAGAAGCGTGACAGCTACTTTTGGATTCGCGACGTCACGAAAATAAATCCGTCCTTCTTGCGCTCGCGCGCTTGCGGCCGCTTTCCCGCTTTACGGGCTTTTGTGGTGTTAATGGCCAACACCACGAGGAGAAATTGCACCGGGACATCTTTACGATCCAAGAGGCTGGGTGCGCGCGAGGCTCTCAAGATCAACGACACGAGCGCAGACGCGCCGACACACATTACCAGATTTAATTAAAGTGCCCCGATGTATATTTATCAGCCCACCCTCCTCCTTCCCTCATCCCTCCCTCGGAGGTAATACAATCTGTTTAAGAAAATTCCTCCGCGTTTTCTTCGGCTAAACGCACGTCAGCGGGATATTACGGTATAAAAAACCAAAGCAATCGTGTCACAGAAGTATTTTTCGGGTAACAACCTCTTCATGCAACGAAAATAAATTATAAAAAGATAAATATTAAATAACAAATGTTATTAAAAAATGCATTCTATTTGGATATTTCCGCGATTTAATGAGAAGGATGAGAAAATAATTTATAGACTGTTGATATTATCTGTGTGCATCGACTATATCTGCAAGTCAAAGTCCGCACTCTTTGGACAGGTTTGCCGGCTGGATTCGCGAGCAAAAAAAAATTGCGCGTGGCTCGTGAGATTTCTGGAGATGTTTATTGCGCTAAAGTCAAAAACAGGATTTTCGCCACAAAATACAGGTTGCCGAGAGACCTTCCCTCCCCGATATGGTGATTACGATGAAGAAAGCGGAAGTGAACGTCGGCGAAGGAGGGCCGCGATTGCCCATCGTCGTCGCGCCAGGAAGTCGCGCACACCTCTCTTGCGCGCAGACGCGTTACGTAACTGCGAATTTTAATTGAATCCGCGGCGATTCTCCTCTACCTCTAGACGATCATCGTCTGGCAATATAAACGTAACGCGGGAATATATCTATGTACACGAGGGAGAAAGGGAAGAAGAAGGATTAACAACTAGTTTTCACTCACCATGTAGCTGCGCGAGCGACTGCAGAGTGTTGGCGGCGTTACAGTTGATGAATCCTGAAACAGAAGTAGAGGATTCTTCGTTAGAAAAATAATCTCACTATTAAACGGAGTGATTATATATGGTGAATGACGTTAAAAATTAAATTAACCGTGATAGATGTGACTTAATACTCGCATAAGATATTACGACAAGGCGTATGATTGAAGATTAAGATATATAATTTAATTTTCTCGGTCTCTTGTGTGTGTGCATCACACTGCATTTGATCATATTTATTATATGTTACTAGAGCAGGTAATGACTTTTCAATTTATTTCTAAAACTCAGACGTATATAAATAATGACGTATTATGCAATCGAGAGATCCCAAGGTGTGTTAATTTATTCGTGATGCTTTTCATAAAATATAATACGGTATATAATACTGTTTATAAACCGAGTATCTGCGAACCGTGCTGTGCAACAGTGAAAATGGTGTGCGTTGTAAAAATGAAAATGTATCTGGAAATTAATTTCCCGCGTATATATGTACGTAAAAATTTACGGATGTATTCATGGAAAATAACACGACGCTGAGCTTTCATCTCCTATCAGAAATTGCAAGATATATAGTGTTATACAGTTAGTAATAGCCATATATCCGCATATGATGAACCGTAATTAAGCTGCAAAATGACATACGGCTATCTGACAATTTATCGGGGAAATTGATTAATTGATTCGTCGTGTTATCGCGCGTATTGTTATTACCTCGAACGCAGGAAATATTATAGTCAGAAGAATCGGCTGATTCGATGTCGCCCCTCCCGTATTGTTCCGACACTCACACTCATATTCATTGCTATCGAAATTCGGGGAAAATAAAAATAAATACGAAAGACCCGCGCGTTGCTTTGCGAGAAATTTTACGGAAACACGCAGACAGTCGCGCCTAAACAATATGCGAGGTCTCACGCACACTTGCGTGTATCTTGCAACTCAATACCGTGTACACATGTAAACCTTTCGTCGAATATTCCCATGACATAAAATAACCTTTGGACCCCTAAGACCGGTCGGGCCCCTCACACGAACTCGCTCGCACCCGTGATGGAACATTGTGATTTAAGGAATGTCGAAACGTAAAGTCGCGGCGCCAAATTTCCGGTCTCTCCGACGACCTTCCGCTTTCCTCGGCGAATCTATCGCGACTGAGACTTGAATTTTTAATATTATATATTACCGTAAATTTGTTTCTGTCTCGTTTCGAGTCGATGATGAAAGCGCGATGTCACGTGGCGACTTTCACGTTAATTAGCACATATTTTATTCGTGAAGGAGGAGGAACTGCGACCGGTAATAATTGTTGTCAAACGACTTTATTAAACATGCTAAATAGCTTGTCGGTTCGAGAATTTTCGAGTGGATATATATATATATATATATATATATAGAAACGTTTTGTGCAGGGTCCTTGAAACTTTTATAGGTCAATAAATAATCAAGGATCATTGTAATTTAACACACCTATCAAATAAATGTTTCGTTCAACTTATGATATATTTATGACAAGTGTTACACTTGTCGAATGCCAAATAATATATTATAAAAATATCAGAGTAATCTGTCAAATAAAAAACTGTCAGATTTTCACAAACTTGCAAACTCATCGCTCATCGAAATAGTTATTCAACGCGTTCGATGGGTTTCCCTTTTAAAGCGTCGAAATAAAAATTTTGACCAAGAAGGTACAGTTCCTGTTTGTGTGGCACACGCGATAAGATTAGCCTGATCCGCGAAACGTGGGATTTATCGATGTATACGCGAGGAAATGTCTCGCGACCGCGTAACAACCAAGAATTACAATTACAGATTAGACGAACGGGGTGGTGGAATATAATCGCGATAAACGGCGCGATTCTAGGAAGTGTCTGCGATACGTTTCGCAATCCGTGCATGTCATCGACGTGCCCTCACCCTAATCATCTTTCGACCAGTATATAAATAACGAACGAGCCGGCTTTACGGCAAAGAGCGCGCGTTATCCCATCTTTGAGGATCTAGTCACGCAAACGTCGATATATACATACAATGTAACCTTTCCTGCAATTATCCCCCTGTTTAAAGCATATTCGCGATTGCTCAATTGGCAGGAACGACGCCCGGGGGAAAGGGAAAACGTTGGAAAACCGGTTAGTCGATTTCCTGATTAGAATAGCTCTTCTGGAACACGGTATTTTATTTTCCAAGATCGTCGCGAAAACTCAATCGTATGAAATTAAACAAGAGTCTTGAGTTTCTCTGACAAATTTCTCGAAAAGCGATCGATTGGAATAAATATCTATACCCGTATCTTTGTACGTGATTTGAGGTCAACGTGGAAAACTTTCGACGAGTCGATCATGTTACTGATTTATTTGACTTTACATGTTTCGCAAACATGGCCCTTTCTTCAAGTATTAAAAAGAGATCTGATAATTACAAACCATATAGCAGAGAATAAAAAAAATGCAGATATGCGATTTTTATTATATCTAGAAATCTAAGAGATGATATTCCCGAGACATTCATTAGAATATAAATGAATTGTATGGCAATAAAAGTCAATTTCGCAAAAATTTCTCGTATCTTCTCTCAATGGATCGATATATCCTAATGACTCGAAGCTAAACGAGAATGAACTGTAGCATCATAATTTGAATTCTAAGATTGCGTGTCGCACTATGACAACTATGCTGCACCGAGCGCGTGCTCGGCAGTGTATTCTTCTGCAGGCCATGGCATCGTGACTAATTTTCTACACCGTTACAATAATAGCAAGCGCAAGCGCAAAAACATTTTCCGTGCGGCCGGTCGATGAACTTACGCATGGCAAATAAAGCAGTGATACCATTCCACGTCGCGTGCGCTACGGAAACTTTCAGGAAAATCGTTCTTAACAAGATTATCGAAACGTCAATCATCTTTTATTTACAAGATTGCAGGGATATGCGTGATCTGAGTACGGCTTTAAAAAAATATAGATGAATAACAAGATTTTATCAACGCACGCTCTTTGATTTATTTATTCCTCTAACTGGTTTCTATAATTAAAATGTCAAACATATATAGCTTAAATATAATCTTAATTTTTAATATATGTAATAGAAATGTTTGAACGTAGGGTTGCGAAATAATACAAGACGTAATCAAATTTTTCTCGAGAGAAAGTCGAGCTCTATCACATTTATCAGCCAATGAAATCGAAAGGTATGTGTATTGTATGTAGATATCCCGAGTGTCGACAATAAATATTGATTGTCTGAGAGTCGTTTAATAAAGAGACCTGTCAACGATCGCGTGTTTGATGACAGAAGAGGAAGGGGGAAGAAAAGGGCAGGGCGCGGAAAGCTTCGTTTTCACATTTTGCGAAATCGCGTCGCTCTTTAAAGGTTGATTCACCGCCGAAGAAGAAAAAAGTTAGCGTACTCGTGCCAGCAATAACATTATGCTTAGTCAATTTGCTCCATAGATTTTACTTTCACGGTACATCTATACCTGTATCGATCGCTATTATCGGCGACTAGATCAGCACGTGCGCGCGTAAACTCGTTTATGCGGTACCAGCTATAGAAAAAAGTAATCGGGAAATTGAAACCGAGTCTTAACGGAATCACTACGCAAAGTTGTCATTAAGGTATCAAGAACTCTCATTTTTAACGACACTTGCTATTTATTTTATCAATTTATTTTTAATAACTATTATTATACACATGCTTTTTTTTTCTCGAATGCGAAAAGCGATAAATGTTTCATTAAAATAATTATCATTATACCTAAAAACTATAATTAATATATTTAGATATAATAATATTATTTTCCTCAATAGCTATCGCGATTATACGCGGAAAAGGAAGAAATGTGTACATTCGTTATCAAAAAAAGCGCAGGATAACGAACGAGATGATAAAAGGCGAGAAAGGAATATTAATGAAACTTTATGAGACGGTAAACTTTTTCGTATAAGCTGTAAATTTCAAACGCGAAGAAATTAATTGTTAATCCGCAATCAGCGGACGCGCGTATCTTAAAATACGCTTAATTGCGAAGTCTCCTGAAGAATCCGGTTGACGAGAGCCTCGGTAAGCGTTGACAACGAACGCGCGTTGTGTGGCCATGCGGAAAAAAGCCGACGATGTTGTCTCGCGTGGACGGCAGGGCTTGGCTACCTCCGGTTACATCGTCACTCTTGCGATAGCGAGCTACCTTATCTCGTCGCGGGTTCACCGATAACCGTACTTGCGTTCGCACATCGCTCTATGCATGCGCGTAAAAGTAAAAAATACTAGTGGTATTCAACGTCTTTCCCGTATCATCGTATATCTTATCTTTCAGATAATCATAGAGGATCATTTTTCAGTTCAGTGTTGAATGAAAACGTCGGTCTCCAAAAATGGAATAAAGGCATTTTTAAGATAACATCTTGTATATTTTTTGTAAATCTCATGTGCAAATAATATATGTATATATATATATAATAAATTAATCATTTATTTACTTTAATGGATATTATATTTATTTAATAATAATTATAATAAATTATTATTAAATAAATATAATATCCATTATAATTATTTACCTATATAGAAATAGTAAATAAATAAAAAAAATAAATATTTATTTATTAATTTATGCTCTAATATTAATTTATTAATATTTCCCGTTATATCGATGCGACAATCAAATATTACAGATATTTGCATTATCGGGATAAACAATGATTAACCAGCTAACCTGACGCAGAATAAACGAAGGTATCAATATCGCTCGTTAAATTTCAGCATACCTGACGCGATCGCGTGATTGTGCTGAATATCGAAAATGACAGGCATTTACGGGAGAGATGGGCGCTCCCCTGTTTGTGACATACACCGCGATTGATTCCTTCGACGCGTGCAAAAGGATAGCGTTTTCGCCGCAATATCGTTGCGCAACGTTCTATCGCAGGTCTTTGTCCATAATACGCCCTGTAATATGTCCCTGTCGCATCGAAAACAGCCATCAGCATATGGTGTTGTGAAGAGAGAATATAAAA